TTACATGCATCTTTGATGCACGACCACTGTGAGATAAGGCCATCGTCCGAAGCTGAGTCAAGCCGTGTTGTCTGTGAAGTTTGTGGCTTGGATAATATTATATGCTTCCGTAGCTTTGCAACTGTTGGTCGGTTATGCGTACAACTAGGCGATCCCCAGAAACGCATGTAAACCTTAGCATGCACCATTCAATGATCGGATTTCGGGGACCTTTAAGGTTATGATCAACAGCATGTTACGCTTCAGCATTATCTCAAACTCATATCTATATAGTCAAGAGAAGACCACTCTTACGTTTGAGAAGGCACACACCAGGATGCAGTCGGTCACTTTGAGTGCCAAAATGTGGTGCTTGAAATAAACGGACGATGATCAAAGCAAAGTGTCGGCAGTCCAATATTATTTTATGATCGACTGTCCATAATTACCCCCAAGCTGGTGCTCACTTGGTGGCACGTGGCTCACCTGTGCGCTAACCTCTGGTAAGACTGGTGAGTAGTTTTTGGAGGAACCTAGGTCATGTAGTTGTTGGTTAAAACAGCCTTTGACTGCAGCCGGACTATAGCTTGTGGGAAGGTATACGCCAATGAGGAAGAATGCACGCCTAACATCTGGACGCTTGTGTACATCACACGAGCTTTGTGATGTGAAATGCGTATAACCGACTGGTGACTGAGATTCAGTCTAGCAAAACAAGCTCAGCCATTTCACTCAGTGCAGCTCCACCAGATGCCTGTTCAAAAGAGGCAGCCGCTGGTCCCTTTGAAAGTTGCAAATGGTATATGTTGTTGGGGTTTTTTGACAGGCATTTCTGATGAGAGACCTAGTCTTGCAATCAGCTTTCGGTAAACTGTAAGAACCTTGTGATCACCGGGAATCGAACAACAGAAGTTTGTCACTTCCTTCAGTTGAGATCAGCAAGCCGTTTGCGCTGTTTATCTGGGAGAACCTATGATTATGTGTAAAGTAATAGTAGAAGTAGGATGGGACTGCGACGATGTAGGGGCGACAGTTGAGCAATGGAGTCAGTAGAACCAAAAGGCATAGCAAGAGCGAAGGCGATAGCAGAATCTATCCGTGATCCATAGGTGAGCATGATACTACTCGGTTGCTAGTCCGTAGCAAAGGGCTACACCCCGAGTCTTTGATCAGGGATGTAACCTACGATGCATCAGGGAGATATAAGGGCGTCGCAATACCGAATGAGTATTTGATACGCAAAATAACCAAAGGCCAAAAATACCCTAGAATTAAGATACTGCTTATAGAATGGTAAAGTGCTGTGACACTATTGTGTTATGACTTATCTGCTACGTCACACTGTAGTCACCTAGATCTTTGTGGCATTTTAAAGGAAAATGATTAGCCCAAAGAAAATTATTCACATCATAAAACACTGTCATCGGACCATTCGCTTGGACGGGATAATCCCGAACCACCCAACTGGCACCACAAGAACCTTGTTCGGTAACTCAGTCATTTTAGGCACTGCTAACATTAATAGTGACGTCGGCACAAAGGTTGTTGATGGAAAAGGGTACTAGGGCTTCCATCTCGTCACGACGAGACTGGACTTTAACATGGTGTGATGGTTTGTGTACCGCAGTGGTACATTGAGATATGCATGTTGGCGCACTTTGCACCTTCAAAGCCACTCATACCAGATTGGTCAATGGTTAGAACCCAGACCAACTCAGTCTCCTGGCCATCCAGGTTGCTAGTTACCGTGAGGCTTGCTCATTACTCCATAAAACGGGCTCTCTGTAGTCCAGTGCCAAAACTCCGCTGCATTGGGGTATAGTTGTTCAACCAAAGGATTTGGTTGAGAACGCTAATCGTTATCCTGCCTAGGCTCGGGCAACCTGAGAGTATCCTTCACACATAATACAATGAAGCGTTCTTCTAACAGTTTCTTGATGCTCTGTTCTTCGCAGAGCATAATCAACGGCGCCCTATCTGCTTCATCGAGCAGGGTGGATAGGGATTTGGTTGCTACTGCTCAGGTCTTCACGTCTTCTTATACCCATTCTTGTGCTTTTTATCCTTATCGTCCCGCTTCAAATACTTTTATCCCCCCCATTTTCAGTCCCCTAATCCTTATACCTCCCTCACCTTGCTTCAATAGTCGCTTGTCTGCTAGTTTCAACTCGCATACAGTGGCAGTGGTCGCTCCAATCCAGTCGACAAGTCCATGTTAAATCAAGCGGACAACGTCAGTTCATCCGTTTCCCTTTGGAATCCTCGAGTCTCGCTAAGAATGTCATGCCTCAATGTGCTCACTTTGCTACAGATTGGCCGACAGGCAGCACTTCCCCGCACACTAGAGACCTTCTCGATCGATATTTGTCGTTTATCAGAAACCCACCTGCAAGATTCGAGCTCCTTGTTTACGCTGCGAGCCCCACATGCGACACTGGCGACACACTCGTTGCGCCTGTCTGGCGTTGAGGCAGTTTCAAATGCGGGTCAAGCTGACGTCGGCATTGTTTTTAGTTCCCAGGCTGAAGCTGCTCTGATCGATTGGATCCCACTCAACTGTCAGATGTGCGCCGTGAGAGTAGCTGGTTCGTTCCATGCGACGAAGTCGCGCGGGGACAAACGGTGCCTGTTTGTCATTGCGGCCTACGCCCCTACAAACTGTAGCACTGATTGGATGAAAAATGATTTCTATCAGCAACTTCCCGATCTCCTTCTTTATGGGCGCAGCACGGAAACACTGTGGTGTTATCTGACGATCTAAAAGCCCAAGTCTGAAAATTGTCCTCTGATGAGCTTCATCTGGGCGGCAAACATGGTGTAGACATCCGTAATGATAATGGTGAGCGTTTGCCACAGCTGTGTGAATATGCTCGTCTCTTTCTCGTGAGCACAAACTTTCGACACAACACCAGCAGAAGTGTGACTTGGCGCCCACCAGCTTCGCACCAGCCATGGACGCAAATCGATCATATCGCAGTCCGTTACCGCTGGAGAAGTTGTGTTCGAAACAGTCACTCGATTTGGAGCGCGATGGTGAACTCTGACCACGCACTTCTTTGTGCCGACCTCCTGTTGCGTTGCGGTGAATGTCCGCAACCTCGATGTGAATGAATTGACACCAGCCAGCGTCTGGTGCTTTCCAGAGTAGGCTGTGCTATGTAGCATGTGAACTACTGAGACGAATATCGTAAAATATTTGTGCCAGTTACCGAGGAATTTAGTTGATCTCCGTTGCTCTCTAGATTTTGTGGTCCGTCTTACTTCGCGGACACTCAATGACCGAGACGGTCGAACCGGTTTTCGACCAGGCTCTGGTTGCACTGACCGTAATTGCACACTACGCCAACTTCACTAACTCTGACATGTTCAACAACAACCAATAACTCTGGTGATCGTGGACCACCCGTTGGCATTTGATTCAATTGACTGAACTGCTTCGGAGAACTGTTTACTAGGGAATGATGTACCCGACAAAGTAATAGTATTTCTGTTGGTTCTATACAGTCACACCTCGAGCAAAGTTAGAGCTCACGTCAGGCTTTTCTCTCCGTTTTCTGACATTAACAATGTTTGTTAAGGTTAGCTTACTTTACCTTTCCTCTTCAGTTATTGTGCAACGAGAACTAGAGACTGTCCAAAATTGTAATGTTTACGTCCTGCCTGGAGACAAGACCATCAACTTGGATTAGGCCGTTGATATCACCTTGCTCGAGAACAACTCACTAGCAGTCCAAAACAATTTAAACCACCTAGCGATAGCGAAATCGAAATACGACATGTACCTCACCCCGGGGCAGTAGAAAACACTACTCCTTGATTTGCACGATCCTGTGTCTGTACTCACTATAACTGGTGGCATTCTGGAACGAGTCGATTGCTCCACTTATCCAGAGAGTTGCATCACCGCTGGTGGCGATGATGCTAAGGAGGTCCCACAACGAGCCAAAAATGCTTGCTATGCATCTACCATATTGCGACGTCTAACTCCCTGTCTTGGTATCCGTCGCAACCTCAAAGACAGCGCCCCCGTCTGCATGGTCCTGTTGTACGACTGTGAAATCTGTCCTGTTGGCTAGGAAGACATGAAATGCTCGTCAATTTGTAGTAACCCTTTTCTGTTAAGGATTGCTTGTGTGTGTGGTGAAAAATCACGTAAGCTGAAGAAGAGTTCGCAACCGTGTGTTTGAAGCGGACATTCCATGACTTCAAAACCTTCTCTTCGACACCGCATGCGTTGGTTCGGCTACGTATTGAGCATCCCAGCCTATTGGCTTCCATGTTGAGCGTTATTTTCGTTTCCCAGCAGCAAATGAAAGAAGCGCTGCGGTGAACAACGGAGGACTTAAAAAAGGAGCATAAAGATGACTCCATGCCTAGTCTCAGTTGGACCGGTGCACCATCCGAACTGCGGATCTTCGCGACAGCGAGCTCTCGTGGTTGCTAACGGTGCTCGTTATGTCCCGGAACAGTCACCACTGGTACCATTGTTGTTCTACCGTATCGTATGATATTTAATGACTTATGAAACAAAAGAAACTGTTTTATATTTTCTACTCTTGTCTTCCTTTTTTTCATGCTTCTGATGGCATATCATTCGTACTCATACTTGGGAATTATGTATAGGTGAAATGCCTAAACCTCACAAACAGTAATTTTCATCCGTTGTGTCAGCAGCTGATCTCAAAGTTCAGTGACCGGATGACCAATGCATCGAAACCACAAACGTTCAGTCCCGGGTTCTACCTCCACCTTTACTTGTCCCTACTTAAAGAGTCAAACGTGGACGAACTCTGTCACTTCGGATAAAAGCTAGGGGATCAGTATGGCTGAGGTTGACTCCACAATTGACCGTTGCCCCAAATGAGATTGTCGTAATCCAGACACATGGCAGCCAACGCAAACATGTCAATCATTCGGTATAATATCTATCGATGCTACTTTCAGTCTTGTATAGGAACAAATCCAACGATCCCTCATGGATCAATTAAAGAGTCTTGCCATCATCTATTATTTTTATGCAGCAAAAGCAACCGATCGTTGGTGTACTCAATCGAATCACTAGTCATCTCGTGGTCGCATCAAGTTCACAAAGCCCTGCTCAAAGATTCTGCACAGCCGCTCCTGGATGGTTTGAATCCGACACCATCTGCCGAGATAGACTTTTGGGAAGCCCAAGTAGCAAATTTGGAGAATATTTTTGACCAGTTGAATGCACCCAAAGCTCGCCAATTGGCCCAAATACTCGAGGGTGCAGATAGCAACTATTTTACGCCGTTTAAAGAAATGTTCAAATCGGTTGTGGTCGGTAAGCAACGCACAAGCAAAAAACACATTTTTCATTCGCTATATCCTGCTTGTGTTCCTTTTAAACCACCAGTTGTTGTATGCCTAAGTAGTTGACAGGAAGCGACCAATGAACTAGATTTCACCATTGCTCTGCCAATATCAATGGACAGAAGTGTGGGTGATAAGCTGCAGTTGCCATGGTAAGTGTAATAAAAAGAGTTGGAACAAGCGATAGTAAGGAAACAGGCACAGGCGAAGATGCCAACTGGGCAATTGCTTGCGGAGCTCTAGCATAGCGGCCAGGGTGAAAATCACCAAGCTCCTATGTGCCGGGCTCCATTTTCCGTTCAGGTTAGCGCGACCTGAACGGGCTAACCCAGGATGAAAATGGTCTGGGGGTACAGCGTTGCTAGAGAGAAGCTCCGGAACTCTGCAACTCGGGTGCAGTCCCATTGATTAAAATGGCAGTTACCTTTGAAGTAATTGAGATTGCGTGTCATAATGCAGACACACGGGCGATACTATAGGACCCGGTATTGAATATACAGAGGAGTCTTCGACATGTTGGTAGCGACCATTGGACGGACCTGACCAGACCACCTAAGGTGTCGAGATACAAACATGCGGTTCAATCCCTACCAGCTGTCTATCGATTCAACTCCCGAGAATCAACGTGAAGTTGGAGAATAGAATAAAGTAGCTTCTTCATAAGCCATGAGATCAATCATACAGTGCACAGATTCGAACTGTTAATTCAATATAACAGCTTTCGACTGACTTCTTCTTATAACCTTCCTGCGCTGTGCTTGGGCGTCACCGAATGAATTCTGTCGTTCCCCTCTTGCCCGTACGTCTTTAACCAGCTAACGCAAGCGGTGTTTCATTGGCTTCCTCCTACTGGTCCCCTGTCGACTACATTCACTAGAGCTACCAGCTTCCATAACACTGACATTGCATTTTGCCTCAGTGCCAGACCCATCGTAATGCCATTTGTTATACACATACACTGCTGCAGGCAATATTACTTAATTAGCACTTCAGACAGCAGACCTAGTTCCCTAATCACATTCGTGTGTCGCTGGTGCACATGAGGGCCGACAGCGTCACTAAACTCTGCGGCTAAAATTGTTTCTTCAAAGAGACGAAAACAGTACCATTGCTTTGTGAATCACCCGCTTGTTCCGAACCGTCAGGTGGTTAAGGTGAACGTACTGTCAGTAATAATAGTAATAACAAGAACGACAACAATAATAATAGTGATGCATACTTCTCGTGCTGCCGAGAAACCGTGCTCACAAAAAGACGGATCGTAGATACTTGTGCAACATGCTCACGCATACTGTGTTGTCAACAGTTGAAGATTACGCAGGGCTGCAATAGGTCCGTTTTGGGGTAGAACTTCACTTGGGGCTTTCACTGTTGTTTCCTATCAGAACTTCAGCATTCTGCGTATATTCCGGTGTAGCTCAGGGTACCATAGAGGCGGCGAGCTCAAGGAAGTGGAAGAAACGTGAAGGGGTATGAAGCACTTGTAGTCATCAACCAAAATCAGACAGGTAGCACACACTCGGGCATAAGGGCCTAGAGTAATACTGGTCAAGATATCTGTACTTGGTGCTGTTTTACTCCTATGAGAAATCAAGGCGAAAGCTAGTACTAATATATCAATGCAGTTGCAAATGAATCTTCAGTGGTTCAGCAGTGTTGGTCGGGTACTTTAGGATAGTATGCACATAGAAGGGGTGTTAAGGCAAAGCGAGGTGCTTAGACGTTCCTAGATCAAGATATCAGATTGACCCGATCAAGCAAAATGTGCTGTGTACTACGGGATGGTTGAGACGCTAGGTGGGCTTAGTGAATTTCCTTATAGCCTTCACTTTTAGGTGGAGATTTATGGCTTGTGTGACCGTGCAACGAAAATGATACTATTTAGATAGAAGAAGTTAATAAAAAAATTAAAAAGTTGTTCAGTATAATGCTAGACACATTCATCAATGCAAGCTAGGCAAATTAGGGTCATGTACAAATTACCGAATACTGGGTGATTAGAAATACATACAGATAGCCAATCAATTTTTGGCATAAAGATAGAAAGGAAAGGCAAAGCATTGAAATAAGAGCAAAAAGTTACTCTAAAGAATAAATTACTTGCGGGTGTCAATAAGACAATAGGAAGGTATAATGGAAGTAACTAGGAATAATAGTTCCAATAGATTCAAAGCAAAAATGAGTAGTAAGAAAGAACAAGCGCAATACTACGCTAATTACTGGGACTGACTCCTCGGGACTTACTTCCATGATCCTAGTTTCAGGTCCCGCTTACTTTAGTACGTATGCATCCATGTACACTAGCTTTTCTGTTCTGTCCAAGTTAGGACGCCCAGGGACTTGAGGAAGAAGTGTGGTTGTACCAATGACGTATTAACACGATGGTATGAGCAGGCATATTCTCTCTTTCTACAGCCTTACGTGAGGCACAAGACATTCACGTGCACCTGACTTCGCTTCGGCCATACATACAGGAACTGGAGCAAGCCGAATTTGACCAAATTCCACGTCAAATTCAACCAATCTTCCACCTACTGTGCCTAATATGGGCCAACTCGAAATCGATGAGGAAACCTGGCCGGATTGTCATAATACTTCAAGAACTGTGCAATCTCATCATCGATCAGGTAAGACCTTAATACACACCCTATGCATAGCACTGTTTTCATGTCCAGGAATCGACAGACTGCAGGTGTTTTGGTACGACCTTCAAAGAACTGACAATTTATGATGACCTTGGATGGTGAATTGCTTCACTCCGAACCAAGAATCGCGGTATCGCGGTCCTATACTTTCGGATTGAGGACTAATTTCCGTGATAACGTCGAACTTGACAAACTAGACTGAGCAACGAACCATTTTGGACTAATTTAGGAGAGACAGATCAGGTGGCAGTTGTTCGGGTAACATTACTAAATAATTGAGACACAGTGTTCTCGAAACTCCCTCTACTATCATAGTTTAATTGTTGGTTGTAGTCGGGTACCGTTGCTCTAGGTTAAGGGGATGTGACTTCCCCATCGCCTGCAATTCATTGGTAAGAAAGGTAGTGGGGGCATTGTGATTGTTACCACAACTTGTTACCTAGATCTGTCCACGGCTGACATCCACTACAACCCAGTAGCCTGAGTTTACTATTGCATAAAGTGGCGCAAATTTTTTCGATCCTCTCACAGGACCAGTTCAGTTCAGATAGGACTGGAACGATAGGAGAATCCCGCGAGTGTTCCATCTTGAGTGGATCGTTGAGCCAGGAATTGATGCAGTGGTCAGGGAGTATACACTCCAAAGAACAGTAAAACTCACAAAGGAGAAGCGAAAGGTGATAAGGTTTGATGCTCTTCGTTTCAGGACAGTCTGTAAGCACAGCTAGAAGCCGAGACAATATAGTTTCGTCACTGAAGACGACTCAGTGTGCTTCTGTTAAATTCGGTGTTGCTGTGTGGCACACACAACAGCGGGTATTCCACCAGCTTGGTTATTGAGAGTTGAGAGCACCATACAAACGATAGTTAGGCTAGCTGCAAAGCTTGAAATGCAAGGCCGCTTAACAGCTTGTTGAGCACTGTGACTTTTCTCATCTGGTCGTTGTAACTGGGTTGCCGATTAAACGCGGGAACATATTCGCTTTCGTGTGGGGTTTGGCTTTATGGGCCAGGGATAGTGAGATAAAACTGTAGTGGGACGCTTTCTTTGCTTGACCGCAATACCCAATGTCCCTGGAACTCCGGTTGAAAGCCTAGAGTGATGGATAGGGAGTAGAACTGTCCATCTGATTGGTTAACCTTTGATCCTGTTTTACTGGTTGTTTAATTGGCCATCAGGTTCGACCTTGGTACTCACTTGCGTCGTAGGACGTCGGTACTCGTTCGGCCTGCGCCCGGCGATGCACTTTTGAGCTACGGTTCCAGAAACTAGTGGAGCTAATGAGTATATATATATATATATATATATATATATATATATATATATATATATATATATATATATATATTGCAAAGGTCTGCTGACAGACATAATGCCATCAGAAACCATGGGATTCAAACGAAGGTACAGAAACAGTAAAATAAAAAACAACACAACAATGTCCATGGTTTCCTCAGAGGGCGAAATACTACCCGGTTGCCAAAGCCGAAGTAGGGTGTTGACTTAGGGGACACCACCCCGAGCCTTTGGCTGAATAGCCTGTCCGCAAGGCAGCGGAGCGAATTCAGGGAATCGCGCCCATTGGGAGCTAATGAGTACAACATAACCAGCCTTCTTCGAGGTTTACAGCTTGCGAACGTTACCTCGGTCCAGTGGATTTAGTTAGTAACCGGTCTCGGAGGAGTAATAACATTCACCACCATGGCCACCTTTTCCTCCGTTCCTCCACCAATGTATACTACGTCGTTTCGGAACTACACAAACTGATCACCCCTGGAAGTGCGCTGGGATTATAAGCAGCCCTCTTCCCGAGCATTTGGCTACTAAAATACCATCTGGCTAAGCGAACAGAAACATGAACCATGAACACGAATTGTTCAAACGATAGTGTGATGACACAACTCAAAGCTGTAAAGACATAAACCGAGTTCCCCACCTCGCAATCTCATAACCTACCAGAATCGCTACCAGTACTCGGCAAACATAAGGTATGCATTACCACCTCGACGCAATTATATGGAGGGTTGTTGCTGATTTTGCTTTTACATTGTGTCTTTCAATAATGTGTGCTAAACCAGTGTTTTGCATTCCTGCATAATTCACTGAGGTGAATCTAATGAACATTTGCAAATTTTGCTGCATCGCAAGATAGTACTGGTTACTGTCCAGCGGGTGCTCAGATAGCCATCCCAGAAAGCAGGTCTAGTTACAGTGAGGCTGTTAATTTGTACAATGAAAGATGCTCTGTTGACCTAGCTATAAAAAATCAACACTGAGTGACTTGCTAGCTAGAGGAACGATGTTGTGCAGCACACAAAGTGATCACACGCCGCAACCAAACCGCGCTTCACAGTGAAGGCGGTGTTCAATTTAAACAATCAAACTCAACATACAGCCCGACATTCCGCACCGATCACCTAAGTGTAGAGTGGAATGGTATTTTTAATTGGAATTTTGCACACAAAAAAGCAAAGGAAATCTCTAGACCGCTAGAAGTGTACTTTTGGTATTGCTTCATGAACAACTTTGGACTATAGGTGACATCAGCAACACCACCGAGCGTGGTCACGCGTCGCGGTCAATATAGCCTAATGCAGTGAAGTGCGATTCGTCCTAGGGCTCCCAGGAGTCTAGTCTATAAGCGTATCATTTGACGCCATATATGGTTACTATCATGTCGAATCCTTCATCACAATGGATATCTCTGAATTGATATCTGCGGACAGTGAGGTGTAAACGTGCAGTTTCGCAACCATACTCATTCGGTTCCATTCATAAAACCTTGACTAACGAATTTGCGCGAATTTTATCATCCTTTTTAGTTGCTAACAGTTCACTTAAATTGGGACATTGTGATTGAATTTGATACAGAATCAAAGGCTGATAGCGAAGATTGTTCAGCTGATGGTCGATGCATTCGCTGAGTAACATAATCCTTTTGCATTATTTCCGTCATCAATCAGGGTATTATCATCATTGTGTGTTTGTGTAACATTTCGAGGCACATAGTAGGAGAACGTCCTGCAGAACGAATTCAATCAGTCGGGGAAATAGATACCAAATATGCAACAATACAAGGGATCATCCGCTCAAGCGGACAGCTGACCTAACACCGCATTAAACCAAAATATCGATTAAAAAGATCACCTTCAGGAACAAGCAGGTAGAAGCAACAGGACACGAAACAAAGTTCACTTCGAAGGACACCCGTCCACCTACCAGTCAGGACAAAGCTGGTCAAGCCCATGAGTTTGACAAATCACAAGCGAGTATGATAGTTCATGCAAACAAAGACCCAACACACACTGATAACCGCGCCGCTTCTAACAACAGCACAACAACACACTGGCACTGCTACCTCGACTGAGCTGACGTGTCGCAAAAGTGCTGAGCTCAAGTGGTAATGGTGCCCGAGCAGTTGGTTGAAGTACCAGTCGGAAAGCGGCATCCTACTACCTATTCCGTATTCTTTCGACCTTGGTTACTCCCAAAAATACTGCAGGCCAATCGTCCACCGTTGTTTGATGTTGCTGTTGTCCCCGGATTAATTCACGTGGACTGCCGTCATTGGGGACAAATTGGTGCGAAACAATACGTTTCGAATGCGCCATAGCCATTGGCCTGTCCGCTGTTTCGACAGTAAATTCATGATCAACAGACGGTGTAGAAGAGACCGTGGTGTCTCTAAGGTAGCCTTGTACGCCGAGGATGCGAAGAGCATTCGGAATTTTGGATCCATCCATCTTCTCTTTGATGCTGAATGCCTACGTGCGTCCTCACGTCGAATATGCAATCCAGGCCTGGCAACCCTGGCTAAAACGTGACCTTGCAGCGCTTGAGACCCCACAGCGTCGAGCAACGAAAATCGTCAAGGGCTTGCGCCACACTCCTTACCAGGAACGACTGGAGATCCTCAGGGTGTTCAACGGACGGTACCGGCGACTTCGTGGAGACCTCATACTAGTGTACCAGATATTGAGCGATCCCAGTCACGTATGCCGCCACCACTTGAAGTTCAGTCCGAACACTAACCTTCGCGGTAACAGTTTAAAGCTGAGCCAACAGTACAGTCGTCTAGACTGTCGGAGAACCTATTTCTCCCTCCGGGTCTGCGGGCCCTGGAACGCCCTTCCAAACTCAGTTGTTTGTGCCCCCACATTAGATACGTTTAAAAAACGATTGGACGTCGCACTGAGCCCCCTGCGCTTTGTTTTATGAACGAAAACGCTTGTATATATTTAGGCTGACCAGGCTATTTGGATTTACACCCCAAATTCACGGTTGTAAATCTGTGCGAACCGGTGAGTACTCCTTTTTTATTTGCTACCATCACCAACGATAACAATTCCTTAGCCAGTTTTGCGTCGTACCACTTTATCCACCTAAAACTGTTATACTTCTACCTTTTATCTCACTGACGCTCCTTACTTCAACCACTTATGTGGTTTGCCAATCTGTTAGTATCTCTATTGCCAACCTGCGGGACCCGTTAAGTGTATGCTTTTTTACTCGTCATATACCATTGTTCCGTTGTACTTACTTCACCGACTTCAAGACTTCTTTTTGTTAACGGATAGTGCATTAAAAAGGTATTACCACCCATATAGTCTGTCTACAGGGTACAGCAAGTTTCCCAAGCACCGCCACATCTAAGCGGAGCACAGAGTACACTTGAGGTGCACGGTTTGCCTCGGTTGCTCTTATGAGATTCATAAGACTTAGCAGTGTAGTTGAGAATGACACAGCCGTAGAAAAAATAAATGATTCGGATTTGCGGTACAACCCAGTGACACTGCCCAAACCAGTTTCGTTAACTCGATCAAGCAACGGCGACTATCGCAACCACATGTTTGATTACGTGAGTGTCAATTGGATGTCTAACCACACGAAGAGTTCCCCTGAGCTGTAGATTCGCCAGTGCGCCAGTCTTGAGTTAAGGCCACTGTGAAACCATCGACGCCAGCAAATATACGGTTCATCT